CTGTGCCCTTAACCAAGCAAACGGACATCCCCTACCTGCGGCTTTGACTTTAAGCTCCACAAAAGCTGGGGCCTACATTCTCAGCCATTCAAAGCCTAGAATGACGTGCCTACTTAGTAGGTGTTAAATAATAACCACCACCACCCATATGGTGCTTATTAAGAGAATAGTATTCCAAAACTTCTCTAATGACTGTGACCCTCCTGTGAAATTCTGATTTCAGTTGTGTATGGGGTACAATAAATCTTTATCTTTTATCACCAGAAAAGCTAATTGAATTGGCTGTTTGCAGACAGAAATAATAAAATGGGGTAATGGGCTTTTAGCCTGGGTTAAGTCTCACAGAATCTCTCAGGTTGGGGAAAACAAGGCAGGCACAAGCCAAGGCTGTGTGTAATTTAAAAACGCTGATTTATTCTGACCTAGACAGTCCCTACTCCTATCACTTCTCTGCAGAACTCTTCCTACTATAGCAAATATTTAAAAATCAAAGGATAAAGGAAGGCAAAGCTCAGTAGTTTGAGGTTCACTTTTAATAAAAACTCTCTCCATATATTAAAATAAATTGAGGCCCTTAGCTCTGGTGAAATGTTGTTCCTGGGTTTTTGGTTTGTTTGTTTTCTTCTGGAGACATAAATAGCCACATACACAGTTCAAAATACTCTGTTTGAACTGTTATAGGAAAAACGTTTTCTAAATGGCAGAGAAATTTGCAGTGACCTAAATATTTGTCTGCCAAAGCTGCTACCTGAGTGTCTACATAACAAAACCTGACTCATTGGTTGTGCATGATGCCTGTGCCCTAATGGGCATCAAATGTCAATGGGTGGTGGTGATATACTTAGAAATATTAATTGCTAAGTAAAAGTAGTAAGTGATGTGATTTACAGATTATGTAACATAGTTCGTTTTCCCCAAAATGTAAACTATATTTAGAAATATTCAAATGTGACATTATTACCCTATACAGGATGTCTTATCTCAGCATCAAGGGCTTCTGCTGAGCTGTTGGAGGAGGCTCTTTAGATTATGCAATCTAACTTCTAAAGCCCATTCAAAGGATGAGATCAGCCAGTGTGTTGAAGCTCTCGATTTAAACTAGGAATCCCACGGTCTACTCTCCAGACTTGTCTGACCTAGGAGGAAATCATTCACAGCTTTTCGTGGCTGATTTTGATAAGTTTTACTTGCACTGAAGACTTGTTATTCTATGATTTTGAGTTAGTGAGTTGTAAGGGGTCATTCTATATTTTTCAAAGAAATGTTTAAGATCATATTATAGAAGAAACTGCTTATACCATTCTAATAGGTGGTTTAATAAGGAAGTTTACTCAGTTGTTTTTCAGATTCAAAATAAAAGAACAGCTTTTAAGATACAATGTCTAAATGATTCTAAATAATGATTTAACTATGATAGTTATTTTTTGCCCTAAAATACCTTTTCTGTGGGTTGTATGGATTGTTTTATGTTGGTCAGTGTCATGCAGAAGCACACAATATTCTGTGATAAAAACCAGTGCAAATATAGATTTCATATTCTATAATCTTAAAAAACAATAAGTTATACTCAAATTGACAAATCAAAGGAAAGCTGGTTTAAATCAAGCATTTTAGGCTAAGCTGTATTGACATGGGGAGGGAGCCAGTGACACACTGATGGGTTAAAACAAAGTTCACTGTTAAATTAGATATAATTTAATTTGTTAATGATAAATAAGGGTAGTGTAGATAGCCCTAATTATGGATTTACCTGAGGATTAATAGGGGAATTCACAGACAATCTATAAATCCACTCATTTTCCATCTTCCAACCTTTTAACAAGTAATTTACAAATTCTTATTTGTCTGTTTTTGTGTCTTTTAAGTTACAGCGAGGGGTTCAGAAATACTGAGGAAAATGCAGGCCGTCAACAGAAACAGCAATGAGGGATCTAGATAGTTTATAATCTGGAAAGTCACACCTGTAATTTTTATTTGGTTGTAATACTATCACTGTCAGAGGCCTAACCAGTGGCACTGAAGGAGTTAAAACACCCCTTCCCCAACATCACCACCATTTCTAGAACCCCAGATGCTAAATTGGGTAAATACGTATTCCTTTCATTGCTGCATCTAACCTTGGTCTGTGACTGAGGAAAGCCACCTCTTCTCATAGTGTTCCCTATGAACAAAAGGTAAGCAAACGAGGGTGACTCAGGACTTCCAGTGGCTGACACACAACCGAACATTTTTCTGAATGATTCCAACTATACACTCAGGAATCAGGAAGAGAAATATTTTACTCTTCACTAGCCAAATATAATCATCTATAAGTCATATGCAAAACAACCTTGAGTAAAGAGGGCCTTGAAAGTCTAGGAATTAAAAGGAGTTCCATATTTGCCTTTTAACTCCTCCTCCCCACTACCCTTTGGGGAATAAACAAAGACATCTGCCACATCAAGAGTCTGGTTTATTTTTTTAACTGAAAACTGAATGCAATCATTAAAGTTTATCTTTGGGAGGAGGTTGTGAAATTTTTAAAATGACTTCTGCAAGCTGCACTATTTTAAATTTCACTAAAAATAAAACAGCACTTTAAAGTTAAAAAATAAAAACTGATTAATAGTTTAACCTATTTCTTTTAACCTAATTATTAAATGAAAAATCATGCTATGTTATAATCTATTACTAAGAATATGGTTTCTTGAAAATTACCTTAAATGGACTACTAATAATGAAAAAAAACTATTAAAAGATATATAATGATGGGCCCCCCTACTTACTGGACCACCCGATGTAAATATATTCAAGCACACATTTACTATTGCTGTTTAATTTGAAACATGTAAGTCTATGTATATTTTTCCCTAAAACTCTTTATGAGTTTCACAACTTCCTTTCATAGAGAAGTCTGCCAAGCCATTGATCAATAAAGAATAAAAGCTGCAACATCTAGGAAATTACTATGTGATAATAGACAGTAGTTTTCAAATGTATATGAGTGCTTTCTACTCTTTATCTCTATTTATAAATGTAGGTTCCAGGATATCAATAAAGCTCACACATGGCGTTAGCTCTCACTTCATTCCAAAGCTTTCCAAAGTGTAGGGCTTTTTTTTTTGTCCCTTTTGTCTTCAGTGCATTTCCTGTGGCCATGGCCCTTTTACCAAAGCTCCAGGTCTCGACAGTCTTTTCAATGTCATCACTATCTTCCCCTTCCAATCTACTATTGCAGAATAGCTGGCTCTATTGCTAGTTGAAAAATAAACAAGTGCTTTCTAGCCGTACTTTGTTCAGCTTTTATCTGTTTCCCCTATCCAGTTGCTCTTTCTCCAGTCCCTAGCACTTCTTTTTTCCACCATCAGTTGCTTTTTTATTCCATGTATTTTATCTCCTGCATTTCCAGGCAAACCTCAACCCCGAACCCACACATCCTTTAGTCACATTGCCATTAGTGATTAAAATAGCCATTCTAAGCTTACTTTCAAAAATTAAAAAAAGCCTCAGAAAATGTTCAGTGCTCCCAATTTTATTTTTATTTAATGCTAAAAGTTAAAGAAAAAAAGGTACTGTAAATCTGACAAATGACAGAATGCAGGTGATATTTCCATAGTGTGATTTTAAAATATAATAATGTTGATATCTGAGATTACACTCACTTCAGTTGACATGAGTTTCATCATATATAGAAAAAGTATCACCTTCAACTTAAAAAAAAATAAAGGTTAAAAGGTGGCACACTTTTAAAATACTTGGTGGCCAAGGAAAGGTATATAGTAAAAGTTGTAAACCATGTGTACGTTCTCATAACTTTATATGTGAGGCCACATGAAAGACAGTACATCTGTTAAATTCTATAAATTGTTAAAGCAAAAAAGGGAAAGCTTCAACACCCCATCCCCTAATATTTTGAGTATTAAAAGCACAGCTGAAATATTAGGATTTGAAATCTGATACTGCCCATGTACAGTAAGTAGCTTTCTGACATTTTTATCCAGCTGTGGAGAATCTCTGCACTGTCATCAGGTACAACAAAAGATCAAACCCATGTCCCAATGTTAACTTTTTAACTTAAAAGAATGTCAGAAAAATAACCCAGATCAACACTTTCCAGCTACAAGCCTTCCACGAAGGCCACCCGAGGGCCAGTCAGACTTGTGCAGATCTTATTTTTTAATAGTAGTAACTGCAATACACAGCCCTTTAAAGCTGTTCATATTCTCCCCCTTAAACACCAGCACAGAGAAACCATAGGTTGCCTTTTCCACAGCTGGATAGACTTATCCAAAACAGCAGGATGGTTCTTTATTAATCTTTTTGGAAAGCTTATCTGTATTAAGATTGCAAAACATACAGACAGCTACCACAACTGGGTCAAATGACTGATCAAGTTGTAACATCTATGAAGTCAAATTCCAGTTATAATAAAGTGCCTACATACACATTTATACAACAGACCATAATAGCTGAATTCTTTACAAATGTCTCTACGGGCATGTAAAATTGACTTTGTGTTTCTGCATGTGTGCATTCACATAAGAGAGACCAGTCTGATCTGAGTCATATATATTCCAATTTAAAAAAAAGTGTAACAACAAACTGGTTAATCATGCAAGTCTGTTTGTAATATAACAATGACCGGTAACATGAATTCCCACAGCATTAATAATAGTAGGTGCAGTCATTAAAAACACTACAAAAAAATACTGTATTTGGTGCAGTATCTGATTTTCAAGTGTGATAGTAACTTGACCATTGGAAAATATTTTGAGCAATTTAAAAAAGAAAAACATATAACTAAAAAAGAATCCAAAGTTGGTAACAATCTGTACTTTCAAATTAAAATAGAAGCTAGGCTGTGAACCATACACATAAATTGTAGTAGACTTTGAAGCCATGATTCGGCCTAATTAAAAGGCCAAGTTACAAACACCTGAACATAAGGATTTAAAATAGTGTTCCTGTCAATGTTAAATCGTAACAGCACAAAAGAAAAACCAGCATCACTGTGAGACAACTATTTCTAATAACTGATGATTTATTGGCTTAAAAAAATCATTTTACTGATGCAAAACAGTGATCAAAAGAAATTAGTTTACAAAAGGCTTCTAAAAATAGTTTTGAGAGGTGGGGCCTGTCTACTATAAAACCCTTAATTTCTTTAATTTTCACTAGTTTATCATTTTTTTCCAGAAGAACAGTATTATTCACTTGGTATTTCAAACACATGTAAGAAGGAAATTACAGGTTTCCTCCACCCACATTTGGGCTGTCACTGATATGCCCACGGGCAGTCCTGGCAGCACCATGCGGCTGTTACTGTCATTGTACCATACTGTATTTAGCACTCACTAGAAACAGGGTGTAGGTGATAGTATCAACAGCAATAGCACTACAGGTAAATGATAAAAAACAAAACAAAACACAAAACAGAAACAAATCCAATCCCACAATCTCCAAGTTCACCTGGACTGTAACTTCTCTTGCAACTTCCAAAGGAAAGGACAACAGCAACAACAAACAGAGCTCTAGGGTGTTGAAAAAGACGAAGTGGCGCTGCAGAGCCAGGCTCTGCTCAGAGATGGCAGTGCCATCTTGTACACACCACCATCCATTATAACCGCCTTCCATCGCTGGAATCGTGTCTTATGTAACCAACTAGCATGCAGCATTGTAATCTTACAACTGATCACGTGGACAGTGAGCAGCGGTCAACTTTGTCTTAAAAAAAAAAAAAATACCCCCAAAAACTACACAATCCTGAAAATCTCCCAGCAGCACCTCTCAGTCATTGATATCCCAAGAACTTAACTTTAAGAACAAAATAGAGATTCAAAACCTATTTTTCTATTCCTCTGAGAGGACGTTTCAGGGTAAACCTGGTGACATATCCCAGTGGCATGCCCACTTGACAACAGTGCCCCTTCACTCGTTTCCTTTCCTTCTCCACCAATTGGCCTCCGGCCTGAGAAAGGGGCCAGCAATAGGGAATAACAGACAGTAAGGCAATCTTACAATGTCAGAAAATGTATTTGGCTTTTTTTTTTCTTTTTAAAATAAGTGCATACAAATACAGCTAGAAGCATTTCTGATTTGCCAAGTGCTCTAAAAAAGCAGTGCAAGTCACAGCCTACATAGAACAGTAACTGTCACCAGAATAATAAAGCACAAAGATATGCTAATAACGTTAACAAAAGAAAAAAATTCCTTTATAAGTACATACCTTTTGTCGTCAAAAAAATATAGAAACACAATGTATTCAAAAAAAAATCAAAATTATACAGCCATGTTTATGAAGTCTACATTTCCCTTGTCTTGGATATATATATATGGAGATATATACACAATTCAAGCAGTTTTAATTAAAGGTAATCATTGGGTTATTCTGAAACCGGAAAGTCACGAGTCTCTCTCTTTTTTCACTTTCACATCTCCAGCAAGGATGGTTGCAATTTCCCCCTGCATAAAGGCCCAGGGGACATTGGAGCCCACAAGAGGGCATTTTTCCCCACTGGGACAATAGACCTCTCCACTAGCTCCCTGCTGTTTGATGCTTTGTCTGGAGCAAGGGAAGCAGAACTTGTGCGAAGGAACGGACGGGCACTGCACAAAGTGGGTGTCCTCCAGCCGCTCGTGGCAGAGGGTGCAGCACAGGGGGGCACTGGCTGCCAAAGAGGAGTCCGGGAGGCTGGCAGGGTGCACTGACTCCAGTCCTCCCGTGCTGCCTGCCCCTTGGCCCCCCACCTCTCTGGGGCCCAGCCTTCTTTGGTTCATAGAGGACGGAGAGGGTGGACTGTTGCTATTCCTCCTGGTAGTGGAGTGAACTTGGTTGGCATCTTTCGAGGCATGACTGCCCCCTGCATTGTCTGCTACTAAGATCAGGGCTGCCATGGGGGACTGGCCATTCTGGGCCGCTTCAGGCGGTGTGGTCCGGTTGGAATGAGGTGAGGCAGTGGGTGGTGGTGGAGACACAAAAGACGATGTAGGAGTCATGGGGATCTTGAGCCCTTCTGTGGATGTGGACAGCCATGGCTGGGCCTCTCCGTTGATCTTAGGGGGCCCAACTTCACCTTCTGGTTCTGGGGAAGGCTTCCTTTTCCTTGCTGTTCTTGCAACTGGAAGAACAAAGAAATAAAAGGAAAAAAGGGAGATAAATGAAGGTGCACTGCAAAGGATCCTTCTCTTACTGACGCAACACAAAACTCTTCACAGAATTCCTACTCTCTAAAAGCACATACATAAAATACTAACACAAGTTTCAAGTGCACATGCAGCTTAAAATCCTTAGACTTCTGGGACTGAGGCAACACACTGATTTAAAAGAAAACTAAAACACAGAAAATGGCTCGTACAGAGTTGCCTGTTTTTACACATGCATGCATGTACCCCAGCTTGAACTGTGCATGTGACTGTTAACGTCCCTCAATAGGTTAAAAGGTGACTGGTGCCCTCATGCTCCCATCCAAGAATGTGCTGGGAAAGGAAAACCCCGTGTCAGTGCCTATCAGCCCAGTCTGACTCATCTCTGTTATGCTGCTTCAGCACATGAACACGTTACCACTAAGCACTGGTTCCGCCTCAGGCAGATCAGGAAGTTGGGTGTTTGTTGTTTCTGGGCTGGGGTAAAATGGTGAATGGAAAGAACCACCCCTCCCCTGCTCTCTGTCCCTCTTTCTCCCCTAGACCCCCTCACTCCACAGCCGCCCCTACCTGCTTTAGACCCGTTGGCCCCGTTGGCCTCGAAACCCAACAACCTGCCTGCAGTCAGGGCCGGCTCCTTCTTAAACTTGCTCTCGAAGGGCCCCGAGTGGCCGTGCTGGTGCAGCGCCAGCAACGTGTCGCGCACGGTCTTGGGCCTGTTGACCCAGTCCTGCTCTCCAGGCCCGCGGCCTTTGCTCGCTCCTTCGGCCCCCAGCTCCGCGGCCCCGGCCGCAGTGGACAGGCTGTCCGCTGGGCCTCGGTGCGCGGGCGGCGGCGGCTGCTTTTCCTTGGCAGCCGCCTCGCGCTGCTCGTGCTCCGCCGCCGCGCTGCTCGACACGGACGCCGGCCGCTTGTGGGCGCCCAGGTCGGCGGGCTGCGCGGAGCCCAGGCTGGCGGCCGCGGCTCCGGACACCGCGGCCAGTGAGGCGGCGGCGCGGCCGCTGAGGCTGAGCGCGGCGGGCAGCGGCGTGGCCGAGCCGTTCATGAGCGGCACCAGGGTGGGCGGCACGGCGTGGCCGCGCCGCGGGTTCGGGCTCTGGCGGTTAAGCTCCGGCGGCTCCTCCAGCTTGGAGAAACCGTTGGGCACCAAGATGCCGTTCACAGGCGGCGGCTGCGGCGTCGGCGGTTGGGCCAGGCCCGCGGCCGGGCGGCTGCCGCCGAAGTCAGAGCCGAGGCGCGGGGGCCGCTCGGCCGCGGCCGCCAATGGGTAGCGCTCCAGGGCCTGAGGCGCGCGCGGGGCCGCCTCGGGGGCCCCGTGGCCGAGCTGCTGCTGCTGCTGCTGCTGCTGCTGCAGGAGGATGTCCTTGGCCGAGAGCGGCGGCGGCTTGGCTGCGGCCGGGGCCGCGGCGCCGGGCGGGGAGCGGCCCTCAGGGAAGCAGCCGTGCGCCCGCTTGAGCTGCCGCGCCGTCTCGATGACGAACTCGACGCGGTCGGCGCCCTCGTAGTTGACGCAGCCGCGGCACACGGGCTCGGTGAAGTCCCAGATCATGGCCCAGGGCATGCGAGGCAGGTCACACAGGTAGCACGACTGCCGCCGGGACGCGGCCGCCACCGCCACCGCCGCGGCCATGTCCGAGGAGCCCGCGGCGCCGGAGGAGGAGGAGGAGGGGGCGCCGCCGCCCCCCGCCGGCACCACGCGCGCCCTCCTCCCCCCCCAACCCCGCGTCTCCCCCACCAGCGGCGGCGGCGGCCGCAAAGGCGGCGGCGGCGGTGGCGGCAAAGCCCGCGAAGGCTCGGCGCCCGCGCAGCGCCCCCGGTGCACGAGGGGCGGCGGGCGCGGGGCAAGGGGCTGCAGCCGCGGCAGCAGGTCCCCCCGGCCGGCGCGGGCGCGGGCGGGAGG